TAATAATTATTTCTGTCGGAGACATAAATAATATATTAACTAAATTATAAATCAATAGATACATGTTGCCATTTAAAAAATATTTCGATTTTTTTTTATTACCTTATATCTGAAGTAAATATAAATTACACGAGATTGTGGTGAGTTATTCCCACGGAAGGTTGACGTCAGGCAGGTGGCCGTTCGTAAAACTTTGCCAAATCCTATCAGCAGTACAGAAGATGTACTGCGCCGACCCCAAGTGATTGGGAAATGGGCAGGGAGAAGAAGAAGATTGTGGTGAGTTGTGTTTGTTATAAGATGTACAGTATTTTTTATCATTTATTTATTTGATGTAATTGTTACTAGTCTTGTTTTTTAATTGCATTCATTTTTTATGTATTTTATTAGTAATTTTAAGCATTTTAAAACACTGTTTTTAATATTACATAGCAAATGATGTGTTCTCCTGTAATAGGTAATACATAAAAATATTAATTAGATTTAAGCAAATGTAAAATAAGTATACTCTTTGAGATCCATATAAATAAATAAATATAAATATATAATAATTAATATGTGTGTATATACAGTACTTATACAGTTGCAACGATAAATAGTTCGGAATAAGGAAAATCATAGTGGCCTCAAGTAACGGTAATGAGTCTAAGACCAACGCTTGATTGTCGACGGAACTGTAGTCACTCACTGTGTTATAGCTTACAATAGACGGCCTAGTTTTAAAATGTGTCAAAATTCAAAAGTGAAGCGAATTTTTGTGTGGCCTTTGTTTATAATTTTAATTGGGACAGTATAACTACTTGCAGAAGTTCCTCTGTTTTAAGGTTGGCTTGGACAAACAGAAAAAAAGTATTGTATATAGTCATCTTTTAGGTTGGTAGGGGATTTTCTTCAATATCACCTCCAGGTAAATTTCTAAGAAATCTATTGTTAATTGTAACGTCGGCGTGTCCACGGTCGTTGAGGTATTATTTTATATATTATTTTTAAAATTTTCGTTTTATAAAATAAATTAATTTTGTTATTTTAAATGACTGATAAAATAATTGAAATCGTTCATCAAAAGCTTGTACAATCACATATATCCAACATAAACTGAACTAGATAGCGACCGTTACTCCACATCCGCCGAACCATCCCTCAGTGAATTTTGTTTAAAATTATCATTCTTATTCTATGCTATAAAAAATAACACATTATGAATTTAAAACTAAAACAATTAACTAAGATATACACTAGCAGAACCCGTGGCTTCGTTCGCGCTTAAACTAAAAAAAAACTCCAAAAAGGTATAGGTTTTTCGAACAAATTTTCATTTCCTATTTTACCTCCTTATTGGATGAGTTTCGAAAAATGCTAAATCACGTATTTATTTAATTATATTGAATGGCATTGATACCAAGTTTCAAGTTATTTTGATCATAAATATTTTTTGGGTTGTATTATAACGTATTTTTATTGGAATGAGATAATCTCTCACGGTAGCCTATGTCACTCTCCAGCCATCCACCTATCTCCACACAAAAAAATTACGTTAAGCCGTCACGATTTCGACGTGAAAGAAGGACAAACAAACAAACACACAAATAAACAAACAAACACACTTTCACATATATTAATATGTAAAATAATTTTTATATTCCATTAATAAACAAATATATTAATGCAAAAACATGTATAAAATAATAAAATATTGAAACGATTCCAAATCATACTTTTTGAGCCGCTTCACAGCTTGACCCCGCGAGTGTTGTCCCGAGGGGTGTTTTCATTGTCTGCTTATTTCAGTTGTTTGACCTCTCCTTTTGATATTAAATTCACTTATCATAATATTATACTATCCTGGTCGTAGCTTAAGCCTAATAAGCTTTGGATTTACTTTATTAAATTCTTTAAAAAAATAATAATTTACTGATAGAATATTAATTTACCAGAAGCCGCAGGCAAAATGCCGACAGTTCCATTAACGGTAAAATGTAAAATATCCTAAGTTGCATATCCTATTTATCCTTAAAACTCTACTACTTCTATTTGGATTCTTCCTTTTCCGTTAAAAGGTAAAAGTATTTAGTAGAAAGAAAGAAATTTAATCACTCACTTTCACGTTTAATAATCTTAATGTGATTTTGCACTTCTATCCCTACATATATCCGGAGCATAAGTAATCGGATGGATAGACAAAAATTTCGACATTTTAAATATTTTTAGTCATCATTAATATTATTATTTTTACATTTAAGGTTGTTAGCTCATAGAAATCAGACTGTGATGGACATACAGTCACCCTAAAAATACTCGTAGGTGCATTGACTTGTGAGTCACTTTCAAGGTAATTATTTCTAAAAAAAGAAGGTAACTATTTTCGAAGATATCTCGTAACATAGCATACAAAAAAAATAACAAAATTGTGTACCGCCTTCGTTTTCTATTTTTAAAGTCTATCAATGAATATCTATTTAAAGTAACAAGCGTATACAGACAAAAGCTTAAAGCTTTTAAAATGAAAAGTAACATTTACACCCCACGTATTGTACTATACGCTTAAGTTCTGCGTCGAGACTACACAATGATCTTGCAATATCGCCAAACGTCGATTTGCATACAAAGAGACCGCCACTATAACTTCAATGTTAGATATACATAAGTTGTATTTGTCGAAATGTAACTTAATCATAGATTTTCCAAAGTTTTAAAATGTTTTGAACTTTGGAAACTCTTAGTGATAAACACTCTAAAGACGATTATATACGTACGTATTAATTTTTAAAATTCAATATCTGTACATACACAGTGATGATATATGATCCATGTTCATACTAATATCTATATATAAATAGGCAAAGACAAGAACCTTTTTTCCGCTATTTTTCAACTGATTTTCTTTCTTTTTTTGTTTATTAGAAGTTATTAATAAAAAAAGTTACTTTTTTTGTAAATAGTAAAGGTGTAAGTAAGCTCTATTCATATATGTATGTTTTCTTCAAATTTTCAATAATAATTTTTGTCATATTTCGACTACGTTTCGTTTTAAGAGATTAAATATTTGTGTTTGTTTACCCGTTATTGTATATTCACGTAGTAAAGCCTAAGCTAACTTAAATGAAATTCCTATTTAAAATGGCTTTTATCCCACTGCAATATTATATAGGCTACTTTTTTTTATTTATTTATGTACCAGAATAAAAACATACAAGTTAAAACAGATACCATGTGTACCAAGAATGACTTATCTCTTTAAGAGATCTCTACCAGAAACCCTCAAGCGTGAGAAAATATAAAAATAATAATGCGATGCGGTGTAGGTACAAACTACAAACATCAATTATAATATAAATATACACATGTACAAACATACTTTTTGTTTACTAGTGCTAGCAATAATATCATAATAATAATCATAAATAATAGGCAACAACATAAACAAACCATAGGAAGTTACTAACTTATTAAAACACCTACAATAAAGCAGAGTGGTCTGTAGCGGACGAGACAGGAGGGAAAGGGAACAAGGCACTCTCATTAGACATTTTAATTAAGGCAGATCTGTCAGCTCTACGGTATACCTGAGCTCTATAAAAAGCTGTAATAAAAAAAGGCTAAACTCTATTGTTCAGAGTTAAATTTTAAAACGTTATTAAATGTCGATCGTTGTTTCGTGTCTCGGATTAATAGCACTCGCTAGTTGAGCGCCACGTCTGTATACTACAAGCTTTTATTTAACTTACTTCGTTCATGTTACTTTCCTTCTGGGGAATTTTTTAAACTGCTGATACAGTTCTTGACAAACTATAAACGATTGTTTAAAATATAAGGGATTATATTGAATTTATTTAATTCGTAATACCAAAATGGATTCAAATATATGTAATCCTTAATTAAACTAATAACAATTATTACACGCACTAAGATACCCTGTGTCGCGTACGTCTAACCTTCCGCAGGACGCTTCAATGTAATTTAAGATTATAGAATGTTTGATTTTTAATTATATAATTGAAAGTATATATAAAACATTTGCTGGTAACTGGATAAAACTAGAATTTGGTACATCGATGTAACTTAAGTTGTAATGTGATGTGGCCCAGGAGATTATGTGACAAACTGAAAAGCTCATAAAAAAATTATTATATCGCTTTGGTAGGTATATTTTAAATAATCACATTATGGATTTAATCATACATTTGGAAATTACAGACAATTCTTTTTTTATATATTTTATAATATACAAGCGACTCACCCTCGCTCCAGTCCGGTTCGACCTTTGTTACGTTTTAACGTTTAGTATAGATTTCTCAGAGATGAGATATTTTATAGCCTTTAAAAGTATCCTATATACTCGTATTAACCTGGATACCCAGCTACCATCATATCAAATTTCATCAAAATCTATCCAGCAGTTTTCTCGTGATGCGTTCCCAAACAGACAGACAGACAGATAAAAATTCTAAAAACTATAGATTCGGCCTCTGTATCGATAATAATGACTGTTTCAATGAGATTTTCCAATAAATATTTAATATACAGATTCGACTCAATTAGAATTTTATTACATGTAGGTACTATAGATAGAATTTTAAATAAGGACTAACAGAGAATAATGTAAAAACAAAAGAGGGTTGGCTATATTAAAGGTTTCATCGAAGGGAGCTGTGGACAAAATGCCAGTGGCCTTAATCACTGCCATTGTTGGCTTATGGATTAGCAGATTTGCTGTTGTGGCACTAAATAAAAGAAATAATCGCTTCTATTTGTTACCCTTTGTAGGGTTGTGCTTAGCTATTGCTTTCTTTACACTCACTTAGGGAAGGTTTCGTACTATTTTTTATATTTACATTTTAAGTTAAGTTATTCAGAAGACTGATATTTTGAAGATATCGGACTACTATAATACATGCGAGTTTGTATGTGTGTATGTTTGTTATTCACTTACATTGAAATGACTGGACGGATTTGAAAGAAATTTAGTGATCCGGAATAAGAAACAAATAGGCTACTGTAAAATGTACGTGTCATACTCAAGCAAATCAAGGGTAACTCGCTAGTTTTAAAAAGTATATACATACAGACTACACATGTATATTTATAAATAATGTGTACGATATAGATATAAATCAAATTAAAATAAATTTTGCCTTCTAATTGAGGGTCGATGATAATTTAAAACCTTTTATCAAAAATATCACGTAAGTAGAAAAAATAAAAATTTGACTTTTTTTTAATACTATACTAGCGGCTCACCCTCGCTCCGCTCGGGTTCGTCCCTAGTTATGTTTTACCGTTTAGCTCAGAGATTTGATATATTCCTGCAGTAAAAAGTATCCTATATATTGACCCGGATAACCAGCTCATACCTCATCAGAATCTGTCCAGTGGTTTTCCTGTGATGTGGTAACAAATAATAGACTTACGATGTTGCATAATAAATATATTGATACATTAACACACAGCACCATCTAGTCCCATGGTAAGCTACGAGACTTATGTAATGGATACCAGATAGTTGATGCACTACACATACACCTATAACTTTAAATATTTACATATTATTATAAATATAAACACCTATGACTGGAGTACAACCATTCCGTCCATCACACAAATGTATACAACCTAGCGGGACTCGAACCCGTGACCGCTGTCACAGCAAGTAGGGTTACTACGAACTGAGCCAAACGTCATAATATAAAAAGCCATAATATTATATGTAGTCTTGATCGTCGCCAATAAAATCCATAATCGAATTTTATGACTTTTTCTAGGTGGTCTTATAAAAATTCAACAAAAATAGCACATTTTTAATAAAACTATCTTTTCAGATTTTTTCGCGAAATTATTTTGATTTTTGGGTTCCCGACGTTTTGAATGCTTTACAGCAATCATGGTCACGGGAGAGACTTAGGTGTTAGGTGTTTCTAAGGTATTATATAGTTGTTTCAGACAGCCTACCCACAAATAACAAAATGAATTCAAAAAATTGAAAAATGGCACCAAACTACGTTACAATATTTTTTAACTTTAAACATTTTTTATAATTTTAATTAGTTTTATAATTGAATATGGAATATTATTACTTTAATTTGAGCTGTTATTATTATAATTATTACAATTCTAAAAATATTTATTAGTAATCTATATTTTTAGTGTTGCCATTATTGTATTTATAACCATAAAGAAAAAATCATAATATATGTGTGTAATATATTATGTTTGTCAGCAGGAGAGCGGGCACGCGGTGCCGGTACTAGTGGTGGTCGCTCTCTCGGGGGTCAAAGTATGCGACCCCGAAGATCAGGTGAGTATATTTATATAAACTATGTATATAACATAATTTTATAAGTAATTAAGTGTTAATATGAATTCTACTACGTTTCGACAATTATTCTAATCTTATTTAACCCAAAAAAAAAAAAACAATTTTGTAAATTAACTTAATTTAGGCAATAAAAGAAAGGTTTAGCTGGATAAGTATGATGTGTTGACCTCCTAACAGAAACCTGAATCAACTGATGTTTTAATATCAACTTGATGTACAAATACGACTTAGTAATACCAATATCTGCATAATTCCTGAATTTACTCGAATAATGGAAGATTGAAATAAAACTGTCATCAAATTTTTCGCGGAATTATTTAGGTTTCTGGTTCACGACGTTTCGAATGCTTTATATCAATCACGATCACGGAAGAGACTAAGGTTTTTGACTCTCAGTATAGGTTTCCATTTGGCGGCTGATTCTTCTACTTATGCTAATTTCTTTACTTAATTTCATAAGGTATATATTATTCTTGCAGAGTGTACGCATGTCCCACGCGTTACGTCGCATTTCGTACGCGACATGTGAGTCGGCGCGGGCGTTGTTCGCTTTTGTAGCGCGCGAGCCTCGATCCGAGCACACCCACCAGTACTGCCACGCCTTCGAGACTGATACGCCTGACCAGGTGAGATTGAAACCATTCCATGTTATTTGTATTCAGCCCTTATAACATTCCAATGCTGGGGGTAGGCTTCCCAATACGAAGGGGATCAGGCCATAGTCCACCACGCTGATCAAGTGCGGGATGGCGAACTTCACATGCCTTTTGAAAACTAGGTTCTCTCAAACAAACATGCAAGTTTCCTTACGATCTTTTACTTCACCGTAAGACGAGTGGTAATAATCTTGAAAAGCCTCACATGTACGCACACAAAAATATCAGAGGTGCGAGACCCGGGATATGAACCGGCTTCTAAGCTTACTAGTAAAATAGCTGTAGTCAGAATATTACATATGAGTATATATAAGAGAACATTATTTATCATGTACAAGTTTTTTAATATTATTAAAGATTAATATTTGTAAAATATTTAACGTTTGGCCGTAATTTGATCAATACGAAAACGGACGGATTTAATGATAAAATTAATATGAAACTAAGCGGAATAAAGCTATTTTACTGATCAGTGTTTATTAAAACTCAATATACCCTACTTTGTGTTTCATTGTGTGGTGACACAAAGCTTTTACATGTAATAATGTTTTGTAATTAAAATTTTACTAGATATGGAATTTTAGTTGAATAGTAACTACCTGCGAATTTGGGCGGATAAATATTACATGCTTACATTATAATGTTAATGATAAATATTCCATGAAAATTATAATTTCAATATCTTTCTATCCTATTTCTTGCGAGATAGCTAGAGAGGAGAGTATAAAGCGCTATGAATTTTACATACTTGTAGCTTTTCTCTTTTTCCAACACAATTGTTCTTCTCATTGAAACTCAAATTTAAGAATATTTTATTCAGCATTTTTTATGTAATATTTTTACTGAACTCATGAGTCTACAACGAGTTCGAAAAAAAGTGGCCTTAGTCTTAAGAAGAACTTGCGGAAGACTCAACACTCTTTGAGGTTTAATAAATATACTCAATTTATAATTTAATAAAAAGGAAAGATTTTTTGTTTGTTTGTTTGTACCGAATAGGCTCCGAAACTAATTAACAGAATTAGGTGAAATTTGGTATAAAGATAATTTGAGACCCTGGAAAGGACATAGGAACCCGGAAACCATCACTTAAGAGGGTAAAAATGGGGATCAAAATTTGTATGAGGAAGCAACCTAGAGACATACTTGAGCAAAACGGGGGTGGGTCGCTAGTTTTAAGATAAACTGATACAATTAAATTTTAAATATTTTGTACAAACAAGCGCTCCAACTAAATTAATACCAATACTGAAAACGGAAGTTAGTACGATTGAAATATTGTGCCAAATTCAATGCAGCAAAGAGATTGAAAGTGGATATCTATGTTAGCGTGTCCTGAGCCCTGATTTATTCGAGCGGCACCCAATGTGTATCCTACCGTGAAGTCGGAGGCGATCTGTATCCTGTTTGGAGGTTAATCTTTTTGACCTGACAAAGGACATTCGTTATTATACTCTTGAATTTTCTTTTTTATATATAATCACATAATATAATTTTAATGTAATCTAATAATATTATGTTGAACACTTTTTATGTTTAAACGAGCAAAATTTCTGGAACTGATAGAGTCCATTTCAATTTTGTTGCACTTGGTAGATTTTGTATATCTACTTAAAAAAACTCTGAACCTAACTAAATGATATATGTACATCCCACAGTCTAAACTACTGAATTACTGACTCTAGAAGCTTTTAATTATGCACAAGTTTATAAAATAGATAGGTAAATTCTATTCATATATTTTTTCTTCAAGTTTTCAATAATGATTATCGCCGAATTTCGATCATTGGGCGAATATTACTATAATTTTATAAATGAGATCGTAGATACTAAAACACTCATGTGTGTTGTTTCTTTATGTTCTTATGGCTCAATGAATTTAAATGAAATTTGAAGTATTTGTAAATGTATATTTGAATTTAATTAGATTAAAAAGTACTATGATACAAATACTCTCGTATATTAAATAAAAGTTATTAGGGGACACCTGGGTTTGAACCGGGGACCTCTTGATCTGTAGTCGAATGCTCTACCACTGAATTATATCCCCGCTGTGATTCAATAATAAATATACATTCATAAGTTACTTTTAAATTAATCTTATTTAGAAATCACATACGTCATGGGTATTTTCTGAATTCTAAATCATTATATTTGAGTTAAGAGATAACTTGAACCTAAATGCATACATAGCTTATTTATACGATATACTAGTGATCTGCCCTGACTTCGCCCAAGTTTAACGTGATTTGTATGTAAGTACATAGTAATTTTATTTATATATGTGCTTACTTGCATACATACTCGTATATACGTACAATACTACAAGCTAAAACTTATTTCATATTTAGAAAAATAAATATTTAACTATCTGATGCAATTTTATCGTCACGCATCGTAAGTTAATAGTACCTTTAACTACTTAATGGCAGAAAAAAGCTAAAACAGTTTATTGAAAAAAACATGGTCCTTTTTATGAAAATTGCATAATAATCGCAAAGTGCTTATATTACCTGAACACCGTATATTCTGCTTATGAAATATTTCGTTAGAAAATTTTAATATTAATATAATGTTGAATATTAAAGAAGGTGATCACTAAAGAAGGATTTTAGAACATTCTTCCTTATTGCATCATCATCCACTAGAAAGTTTGAATAGCGAGTAAAAAATTACGCGAGTTCATCATTTTTGAAGTAACCAACTTAGGAATAAATGTTCAAGTTTCTGTTCTTTTAACTTGCTGGTTATATTGTTAATGTCTCTGAAATACCATTATATATTCTTTATTGCACTAAACAAGTAATAAAAAAATTCATCGGAATTATGACAATATATTTCTGATAATTGGATAATTGGATAATTTATACACATCTGAAACGGTTTGGTGGATTTCTATGAGAAGGTTTATGACATAAACCTTACCGGCTCTACATAAACTTTATGTAGAGCCAGTATAGACAGGAGGACTTTGTAACAAAATAAAATATTTAAAGTTTTTATCCCTATGGTTCAGTAATTTTATTATGTATAAGCAGGTTCGATTTTTATTATTGAACAGAACTTTAAGTCTCTTCAAAAAAGGTCCAAAATATAAGTCAATTTTCCCGCTATTTATTATTTAATAATATTATCGATACTCTTATTTCTATGAAGTTAGGGTTCATTTAGTCCTATACAAAACTTTAACAAAAATCTTACGCATTTTCGTTACGGACGGTTTTTTGCCGGCTAATACCCCTCCGCATCGTCCCATAAAGAACTTCGATCCAACAGGTACATTTATTTTTATACATACATATGCATATAATAATATTATTCATCTTATTTGAAAAATAAAGACTTAACTGCGCTTCTGTAATAATAAAAGATTATTTCACTATAAGAATTTAAGTACAAAAAACATGTTAAAAATTACACTTATAATAAAATATTATCTCACCTGTAATAATAAAAGAAACAACATTTAAAGCCTATAATTCAATCTAAATAACAATAAACTAATAAATAAACTCTTCGAAGAAAATTTATAATTACACTATATCAATTATTTTATTAAATGTCAAAGTTAAAAAACTAAAAAAAAAGTGAATTTGGAATCAGTTAAAAAGTATTTTGTAATAAAAATAAACTAAAAAAAGCACTCGCATATGAAGTGATTTTCTTTACATGCATATAAAAAATCCATCATCAATCGCATCGCAATTGAATTATTTGACTAAACAATCTTACAGACAAGCAAACCCAGCTTAAGAACAAAACAGTTTATTCTAACTTTATTATTGTGGAACCGTATTCTATTTATGGGAGAGAGCTTCAACGTTTAAAAGCAATATTAATCAAGTTGATACAAACGTTTGATAGAATGCATTTAAAGAGGGTAACCACGTAATGGCTGTGTGCTCGTGACCGGCTACTGATTTATTGGAAACTTCTGAGCAGTGCAAAATGAAAATTAAGAACTTACTTGAAGCTTTTGAGCTACAAAATCTAAGAATTAGATTAAGAGCTTTATATATTTTCAGTAAGTTGTTGATGGATACTGAATCAAAAATGACGTAATAGGTCCAAATTAAAGGAAATATTTATTTTGTTTATTTAGTTAAAGCTACCAAAGTAGAGTTTAACGTGAAAATGAATATGTTATTATACTGCATATTATTACAAATTAGCACTTGTCTTCTTTGAACTCTACGAAAAGTAGTCTAAAAGTGTTATATATTATGTGTTAAGCAAACTAGAAACTATTCCAATAAGCGAAACTCAATCAATAACTACTTAGACTAAAATAGTCACACCACGTAACCCCTAAGCGTCGATTTAGTAAATATCCCCCGCGAACTTGCCCCTTGCACCAAACCCTATCTTGCACTTGCAAACTTCTACGTGACTGGTTGGAACTGGTGCTTAGAAATTAGGTAACAGTCAGACTATGAGATGCAATCATGCGTATAGCTCAAATGTTTATATATATAATTCTTCTGTGAGTGTGTATGTCACTGAACTTCTCTCAAACGACTGGACCGATTTTGATAAAAATTTTTGTGTGTGTTCAAGGGGATCTGGGAATGGTTTAGATTTACAATTTGAATAATAATTTTCATCAAAAAAAATATTAAAAAAAGTTTGAAATTTTCAAATTAAAGACGTGTAGAGAGGACAACGTCTGTCGGGTCCGCTAGTTATTATTATAAACTAAATAACTTTTGTCAATACAAACATTAACGTATTTATTTATTTTGAATTAATATACAGAAAAGTATGACGTTACTATGTAATACAATATTCTTCTTTCTCATATTATAATCATCAAAGAAACCTCATTAAATATAATACAATTTAAAACTATTTCTGTATCGTGTACATTTTTTCTTAACCCATATTGATATTATAAATGCGAAAGTTTGTCTGTCTGTCTGTTACCTTTTCATGCTTAATTCACTGATCAATTTAGATGTTTGGTATGCAGA